TTAATGGGGCTCTAAATTTTTCGAAACATATATTATGGACAACACCCTTGAATTTACCAGTATACCAATCGTGGTATACCATTGATTCACCATTTAAATTTTTGTTACACACGTAGCAAGTTTGATATGTTTTAATTAAATGTTGTTCTTCAAATGAAAGAGGGCAAGTTGGCTTTTGAAATAAAATGTTTTTTGTTATATTTTTTAAATCTTCTTGTAAGAATTGCATAAATTTTAATGCACAATTTTCCCCAGTATATGTTAAATATTTTGAAAGTTTATCATCATAAGAACATTTAATGTAATATCCAAAACTATAAACATCATGTCTTTGTATATTAATTGTGGATGACGTTGTTGGATTATTTGAACACGATGCTATTGGACTTAATAATGCCTCAAAGTCTGCATATATAACAAAGGGTAATTTAATTTTTCGTTGGAATTTATCAAAGTTTAATTTGCAGTCTGAAACAATTTCACCACACCAGTTTCTTTTATTATTAGCGGTACTGGGTAATTGTGTATAAATGTGTCGACAATCATTTTTCTGGTGGTTTTTTAAACGTTCAAGCGATCGAAAGTATAACAAACAAAAATCACATAAGTAAATAGCTTCTTTTGACTTTGAAATTTGACTACTTATTAATCTTGATATATTTTTTATGAAACAATAATGCCCTATTTTACCTTGTGTTAAAGATAGCAAATTTATATGAGTCGACATTCTATTTTTTGTAAAATATAGGGGGCCTACAACAATATGTTTTCTAGTTTGCTCATTATATTCTAAACCAAAAACATTTATACTAATTTTATTCAGATTTTCAATTTTAGGTATATCACGAAATTTAACAGGGAATTTAATATTATCGAACTTTAATTTACTACTATGTTTAGAATAAGAAGATACACGATCTGAATTCTTAAGTACTGGGAATAATGCAGACAATAAAGCCCATTTAAAACATGCATCATCAGTATTTTTTACATTCACAACAGCTTTTTTAATTTTAATATCATGAGGTAAATCGATATAAGACCCACCCCGTAATGGGTTAAATTTGTTTACATTTATATCTAAGTACAGAATATTTTTTAAACTCCAACCACTATCTTTCTTTTCAAATGAATTAACATAATTCACGAGAGATTTGGACAACGATGTATAAAATATATTTAAATCATCCTCAACACAAACAATAAAATTCATAGATTGGAAATCAAAGGTATTAGTAATATTTTTAGTCTCCTGCACGAAGTCAGCATACAAAATAAAATTTATTTTTAAAATTGTATGAATCTCGGTAAAATTTTTAATTAGAGTAAATATTGTTTCTTTTACAGAAGTGAGAAATAAATCGGGTGTTTCAAAATCGGAAGTATTCTCATGTTCTGAAGTAACTCTATATGTTAATATCCTGTTTCCAAAAGCATTCTCATATATCGTTACATTTGGTTTAAGAGAATGTTGTATTTTAACTAAATTATTTTTATGCATGTTACTCCTTAGGTGGTTGGCAAAATACTTCTTGGATACACACATATTACATACACTACATATGACTGAGTTTAATGGTTTACCTCTATTATTTGAAGTAGATGCCTCCGGCGTAGAAGTCAACGGTGTTTCAGATTTAAATCGTTTCTTATTACCCATATGAGAATCATGTTGTGGTTTTCGTTTATTACCTCGTCCAGTTTGTTCCTGCCTAAGAAAAAACATTTTTATTATTAAATAAAATAAAATTTTATAAAGTTAAAGCACGTAATTACAAAATACTTACAATTGCTTTTCCACTTCACCACATAACTCAACCATTGCACTGTCATAAAAAGCATTTTGAAGATTATTTTTCTTCAGTTCTTCGTTTACATATTCTTCATTTTGCAGTTCACATTCCCACATTACTCCCTCCATAATGTTCAATGAATTCAGGTTAACTCATCAATGATTTAAAGTCCAAGGAATGTAACGCTATTAATAGATCAGGAGCGTCATTACTACCAAATTATTACAATACAAAAACTTAAGTATTTATTTTATATAGTATATTATTATTTAAGTCATATTTTATTATTTAGTTTTTAAAACTGTAATGCTTTACAGTATCAACTTCTGATATTTCTTTAGTGATGTTATAAACTATACTTTCTATTTGATTATTCATATTTGAATTACATTTTGTATAGTATTTAATTCGAATATCAGCATTTTTCCAATGTTGCGATGTCGGAATTTCTCTTAATTTGTTAAGGTCATATACTTCAATTTTTATCATGAGATCAGACTCTTCACCGTCATTTTTATTAGTTGATATATAATTAATAGTGCCTTCATTTATAGATCGACCAGCAGTTGAAGATAATATCACTTTTTTCCTTTTCTGTTTTGGTTCTTGTACAAACAAATCATCTAAAGTTCTTTTATGCTTTATAATAGATGGAGACGTCTCGTCTTCTTCAGATAATGAAGTATAGTAGTTATAGGGTTTAAAACAATTTTCAACATCTTTCAGATTGTATGTTCCCTGAAACATACTATTCAATAAATATTCAAACAAATTTATACACACGCTTAAGAATTTTAACCTTAAATAGTTTAAATATTAAACTTACCTCCATTGTATATTATTTCAAACTTTTAACCACTTCAACTTTGTCAAACTTAGAGCACAATACTAAATCTTTCTACGAGTATCGGGTTATATAGACTGGTAATGGATATCGTTATCTAGTTACGATATTCAGCTCGACTGCATGTTTGAACAAGTATGCATACCAATTAGTAAAATGTGGATAATAAATACAAAGGGCACTCTAATACCCTTTGCAATCTTAATAGTCAAAGCATTTTTAAAATATTTTTGAAATAGATAAGAACAGAAATGTGTGTAGTAGTTAAGCGATTACATGTAAATATTATAATATTAAAATATTTATAAACGAATATGACACGGTTTTTATTTAGCTTCATTACTTTTTGAAGTATATTTTAGGACAGGTTCCTAAGAGATGTATTATAGGTTTTGTGAATAATACAGCATTCAACGGTAGTTATGTTAAAAATCCTTTCAACTTTGAAAATTTTGGTATTTGCTCATTTAGCCTATATATAGATGGTCAACAGATACCTTCAAAATCGTTACAACCATCATTTCCAAACGATGTATTTACTAGCGCATACCACACCCTGTACTCAGGCACCGGTATACATTTTCTTAACGAAGGTAATGGAATATCGAGGGAGCAATATTCAAATGGATACTGTTTACTAGCTTTTGATTTAACACCTGACTTGTCGGCTAACTCTAATGTGCATTGGAATCTTGTACGCCATGGTAGTGTAAGAATGGAAGTAAGATTCGAGAGCGCATTGACTGAAACAATTAACTGTGTAGTTTACGCAGAGTTTTCAAATATTATAGAAATAGATAAGAACAGAAATGTATGTGTGGATTATAGTAGTTAAGCAATCACTTATGTAATTATTATGATATTAAGAATAATAAAATATAATGTAATGGAATATGACATGGTTTTTATTTACCTTTATTACTTTTTTTACAAAGAGACTCATTACTTATGTTGAGATCATATTATGTGTGTTTAAATACATTGGTACAAATATGAATTGATAGTAATAAATGTAGTCAGTAAAAGAGTGAAAGAGTAGGGGAGTAAACGCGTATTAAAGTATGAACACACTAGAAGTGCAAATGAGTCTTCGTAGAATACATCCCAGCCTCCAGAGCAACGTATATCCTTCAAATCGATTGCCGATGTATGCTCAGGTGCCAGCACTTATCATATGCAATCTTGACCCTGATTCACAGCCGGGGTCTCATTGGGTGGCTATTCATATAAACGTCGAAAGAGTTGGCGAATACTTTGATTCGTTTGGATGTAAACCTATTGAAGCAATAGAAGGATTTTTAAGGAGGAATTGTTGCATGTGGAGATACAATAGCCTTATGGTTCAGGATTACCTATCGGCGGTGTGCGGAGAGTACTGTTTGGTATACATATATTACAAGTTCAGGGGGATGAGATTAGAAGACTTCCTTAGAAATTTTACGTGTGACTCAGAGAACAATGATACGGTGCTAGTAAATTTGTATAGAAATATAATGGACATATAAATAAAAGAATAATACCTGGAATAAAAATGTTTTATTTAAATATGTAACCCTTACATCTAATTTTATTATAGATAATGGTGTTAATGTAGGTATATTTATTGTTGTTTGCTTAGACCCGTAGGTTAGGTTAGATATAGTTTATTCTATTTTTTCTTTTAGAGCCATAGATCGGGTTAGTGAATGTAGGAAAGTAGATAACGATGCATTCGTACTGAGTCATTAAGTAATTAGATAATGAGTGGGGATTTCGTGCAGGAAATAGTAACTGATAAGGTGGTGATTAGTAAGTAATTAGCAAGGTTTTGGGAAAGCTATCTCTGGAACGGTTAGAGCTATCACTTCAGGAGTGAGTGCATTCGACTCCACACGTCCTGTTTAGTGGGGTTAGAGTACAAACTTTTTTTTTTTTTTTTTTTTTTTTTTAGGCGGGCGCTGCCTCCGAAACAGCTTTTTTACCGAAGCAGTGGGTGAGGCAGTGCCCGGGAATCCATACTACTAATATTATGTGAATTTTATATAGCTAGATATATTTTTATTTACGTAATAATAATAAAATACGAGGATTTTTCTCGTTGTTTAAAAATGTTTTGGAAATACCTATTCAAAAATAATCTAAGTCATGTATTTTTTCGTTTTTAATTTATTTTTAAGCATTAAATTTACAAAATAAACTTTTATATTTTTTTCTGACAAGGTATTGCCATTCACGCAAGCAGATTGATTAGATTTTTACATAGGAACTATTTATTTATATTGTGTGAGGGCAAAACCTCAAATAGGGCTGCCCAGCCATACGGTTACATTGCTTTCAGATAATGAGTAGGTACCAAGGCAATAGTAGGTTTCAAAATAAATAGATTATACAAAAAATATAACCTGCAACAGATGCGGCGTATGTGCAATAAGATGAGGATGGCAAAGGTCCACTGGATTCCCGATAGTATGAAGTATGCGGTACCAGCTCTGCATCACGCTTTCAGCGCTCATATCCGCTGGGACTAGTGTAGCGTCTTCGTCACCTTCACACATTTTTTTAATTTATAACGACTTCTTAAGTTTTCCCCTAAGCTCGTAAAAAAATATTGACAAAAAGTTATGTAAATTTTTAATTATCAATTAGTTATTATCAATTTAGTTAATTATGTAAACTATATATTAATAGCTCTGGAAATACAGTTTTATAGATTAGTAGAAAACGTTAGAGATATATAAATAAACTCAAAATTCACAAGCGAGAAAGCGTATTTTGATTTTTGTTCGTTCGCTGATGTACTGAAATAACAGTACATATTATACAAACTAGTTCTCATGACGCTACGTAGACGACGTACAAACTTTTCTGCTCATTCCTTACATACATTAAAACATTGATAGACGCACTGTTTATATTGATTTTGTATTTGATAAAAATAGGCTTAATTCTTATAATAGATTTCCACAGAAATACCTTCAAGATTTCCATAGAAATATACGAGTGTATATCGTTATTATATATATACTTACTACTTATTATATATATACTTACTTATGGGCATAACAGGAAACAGGGGTCCATACATATGCTTGAGAAGTCTCGCAGTGAGACATAGCGACACACGTGTCCATTGCTCAGTGAGCGGTGCTCGGTGTCGCCAACTTATACAGTGTTCCCGCAATGTACGCCATAGTGGCGGAGATGGAAAACATCTAAAATAGGAAAATAAATACTCTGTTATACAAAGTTTTGTACAATACGTAACTAAAAAAATTCAAGGAAATTTTTAATTATTTTAACATTATCAAACTGTACCAAGAAATAATAATAATACGTTTTTGAAGTGAAACTTCTTAAGGCGCATGAGGGTAAAATTTTTACGAAACGTCACGTGGATGTGCAGCGTTTTTGTCGAAGAAAAGGGAAAGTGAGAAGGGTGAATTACCTTATAGAAATTCTATTTTAAAAATTAAAATTTCGTTAAGAGAATTTATGAAATTGTAAATTAAAACGCCACATGTTTTTGCTATCGAAGAAATAAATTTATAATTTGTATTAATTTTCGACAGATATTTTAATGACAATTAAATTCATTAAATTCCTAACATATCTTCCTTATCCCCTAAGTTTCGGAAATCTAAAGTTTTAGATTTGGATAAATATGGACAAGAGTTAAAAATTAGTTTGCCAAAGAAGTTTTACTTCTGACATGTGTACTTTGTACTTCACTTCTTTTTTTAAATTCAGTTCAAACTTAATTAACATGGTCAAGAAGCTTCTTCCAGAAAGACAATGGTATTCTGGTCTGATAGGTCTGGTCCTACCTTTAAAAAAATCTTGCAAGTCTGCTAGAAACAGTGCAAATTAGTTCTAAAATTTTGATTTACTTATACAACTTTAAAAGAAAGAAAATGCATAGGCTGCAATAAAATACAATTTTGTTTTTAACAATGATTACCTGTGGCAAGCCAGTATCCATACTTCAAACAGCACACAAAGAACTCTTTCACACAGTTGCTCAGCTGCTCCATGCACCGGAGCTGGTGGAGCCAACAGAGCCGATGCAGCAGCAAGCAACAGAAGCAACAAGGCTCGCCATTCTCGAGAACCCAATGACGCACTGTCAGCTAATGATCGAGCTAACCGCAGGACTCGATGGCAAAGAACTGCTTGTTTGCTGATTAGATCAGCACCTAGCATCATGTCAAAATAATTAAGTTTTTTTTAAGTTTGTTTTTGTTGTAATAAATTGTTTTTCATTAAATTAATGCATTTTTAAAGGTATATTACATTAGTTATACTTACTTAAATCCGTTTGATAAATGAATGCGAGGGCTTGAAACAAATTTTGAGTCAATGTACATTGCGATGTGGGTGATTTTACAATACAAACATACAATAATACTATGCCAGATGTTTTTGTTTAATTTATTTATAATATAACTACAGTTCTATTTTTTCACTTACTTTCATTGTGTCTAGGAACAAATAAGTTATGTAGATGGCTCAGTATTTTGGTGGCATAGCGTTCAGGTGAAGCTGCTAAAGGGGCAGGCACAGCCGGAGGCGGGGGCTGTGCTGGTGCAGCTGGAGGAAGTAATGCAGACAACCATGAACAGCACACGCGGACACAGTCACGTACAGCCTCATGCTCAGAAAGTGGTAAGGATAGACCATATCGTATTACTTCTAATACCCATTCCACCTGAAATTTATTCTCCATTTGTAATAATATAACAATTAACAAATTAACTAAAACAATTAACTTTTGACCGTGTCCCAGTTCGCAGACTTTTATGCAAATTAGAGCACTTAGGGATCCGAGGAAAAATTTTAGCTTGGATTACGAATTACTTTACCGAAAGATGTTTTCGAGTTCGCATTGGAGATATAATTTACATGACCGATCTGAAGAACTCCCTACAGATTTCACATTCGATCTTTGCCGACGACATTAATTTTTTTTGGAAATCCACTCTCCCAATCTCAAGCAATACAGGGTGGATTAGATGATATTTTTGATTGGACCAAGCAATGGCTCCTGTCATTAATGTCCTCTTTATTTTAAGTGAAAATACACATTTGAGGGGTAGTTCTTTAAAACTTAAGACACTCAACATAACACAAATTCCCTAAAGAACTTTCTCCCAAACCATGTAGTGGCCGACTGGAAAAGGCTTCCGGAAAGTGTAATCAGTGCACCATCTCTGAACTCCTTTAAAAATAGATTGGATAGTTTCTCCAAATCTCAAAATACACATGCATCAGCTTATTAAGCTGCTATTGTGTTTATATACAATATACATAATAATAACAGCAGCCCAAAAAATTGGCTTTATAGAAAAAAATATTTAAGTTGATACCATGATACAAATTAGTTTAATAAAAACTCACACAATTAATTTACAAATCCTATGTAGTCCTCTAGTAGGTGTAGGTATACAACTTTTAATTGCAATTGTTTATAGAATTTTACTTTTAAATAGTTTTGTTACAGGTAATATTTAGAACACTAACTTACTTCTGCATCTGTGTTGAGAGGGCTAGGTTGATGTGAGGCTAATTGCCTCACAACAGCCAGGACTACATCACGTCCTCCCACAGCTCCAAGTACCCCACACCCGCCACCCTCCAAAGGCAACGAACTCCATTCTGAGTACATTCCGTCACTCTCCCGGTTCTGTTTAAATTTAATTAATAATTAAACTCATATATGACATACAGAATATAAAAAATACTTATTTTAAAAGGAATTAGCAAAATCCATGATAACAGGAATGTTATGAGATTTAAAAAAGGTTAACATGCCGTAAAAATAATGAATAAAGTAAAGATATTTTCATTGGTATTAAGATGAAACATTGACGTGGTTGAGTTGATAGTAACATTATGGCAGTAATGAAATAATTATGAACGTACCTTACTATTGACTCGGTTAAAGATCCCCACATTCATAAAATATATTCGGTCAATAACGGTATTGAAACAGTAAATTGGATTATTTAAAAATGAGTTAATAGTCACTATAATTAGTATTATGGGCGTATTTATTAACCAGAATCACTGTATCAATCGAGGTAGGCAAAAATCGAAAATAATTCTATATATTCACTAATTATTTGTTTATTTTCAATGGAAAGCTAAATGTCTAATGAATAATGATAGATTTACCAATTAGGAAATTCGTAATTTATAAAAACAAATATATGAATTCTTGTTTACTTGGTACCGTCCACAGACTAAGAGATAGAAAGTAGCAGCCGTCAACTATCACAGACGTGTAACTTGTATATTCACTATAGATATGAGACACCGTCTCAGGGTAAAATTCAGAAATGTGACTAAGGGTGGTTACAGCCTTTTTTTTTATATCCGAGGTGGAAATGCATTTGCGCATCCCCTGAACAGGGGTATGTGGGACTCGACCCACGCCAAAATCTCTGCTATTCAGAGACTGGGTGAGCAATACCTACTAAAACCACCTCGAGTAGTTCCGACAAAGCCGCGGGACTAGGGTGGTTACAGCCTAGCGTTTTTTATATATAAAGAAGATAGTATTCGCTTAATAAAACTTTACGGAAGCTTCAAAATGTTACGGGATTCGAAAGATCCAGACCATTTAAATAAAAGCAAATAAAACCGTATTGGGTTCGGTTTTGGTACATTTTTTTAATCCAGAGTTTTCATTCCTCTTTTCTTTCTTTTATGATATATCCAGACAACATAAGCGCCGTAGCAGCTAACAATACGTGGTTTTCCATCGATATACAGAGAGAAACTGAATGCTCAAACCGGCTCACCTAAGCTTGCGAGCCCGGCTCGGAACTTTTCACAAATTTTCACTCTCATTTTCAAAACTTTTACCGTCTGGACGCGGCTATTGAATATTCGCTCGATGTGAGCACGAGCAAGTCGAATATTCGGCATGTCCGTACATCAAGCCAAGCAGCTCGATATGAGCGCCCGAACGCGATCCACTCGGCTGTCGGTTTTTTGGCGAATCCCTTTGAATGTTACATTACAAGTCAGTCGCCACCACCTCTACGTCCGCCATTTTGACTGCAACTGTGGATGGGATGAGCATGCCCACAACGAACAAATATTCATGCGTATATTCACATCGAGCGAAAATTGGATGTCAGTCGCCACCTTTAGAGCGTTGACGCTTTTCTAAGCTCGTATAAGTTCGCAGTTCTGGGTTGAGTGTACTAAAGTCATCGGTTCTGTCTTGATGCAACCATCGATGACACCCAGCATATTCTGTTTCGCCTTCTTTCGGCGAATAAATTAAAAACATTTCACTGTATTTTATTTCTTTGTAAATTATTAATGCAAAAATCATCGATGTTGGGCGTTCGATTATGACATCGATGTTTATCTAACATCGATCATCCTTAGTTGATACTGACACGAGAACGACGCCACTACCGGTTCGAGCGAAACGCCGAAATATGCCGGTTATCGCGCTTCCGGTTTTTTAAAGCGTGCACGGCATTGAACAAATTCAGAGACAATGTATACTGATTATATACTCTTTTTCAAAAAAGGAGGACTGTTGTATTGCTCCTCCTAGCTTTCTTGGTCTTAGGGCTGCTGTTTTAATTTTGTTGTTTAACAAATAGCGATATTTCTATACACTTTTTATTGAACACCCATAGTACCTGGACAATTCTTTACATTGAAAAATAGTAACTTAAAGATCACAATGTCATATACACCAAGTATAAAGTACTACACAATCAAATTAGGCAACTTGTTATATGAATTGAAATCATACTAAAAATATTGGTCATTGTAAAGTTGAATACATATCAACTATATAAACCATATTTTATTTATGAGCAATATATTTAATAATAAAATCAATTAAATTACAAAACATAACAAACACAGCCAAATGTTATAAATGTAAATTTAAATTGTCATGGTATAGTCAGCACAAGTTGAAAATGGAACAAAATAGAGATACTCTCTTAAAATTATGTGCGATAGCTCATTCAACCATACGCCTAGAAAAATGTGCTAAAGCGTGTATTAGCACATAAAAAATTGCAAAAGTTATAACCATTAAAGATGAAAAAAAAATGGATTTAGTTTTTGCCAATATTTAATAAACTATTAATATTTAAGAAATTTCAAATAAAGATTCTGAAAGAGGAGGAAATTTCCAATAAAAATCTCACTCCAACTCTATCTCCATTATTTATAACTTTAATTTAACGCTGAAAATAGGTCTGTCTGACATTTTAGGATTCGCGCGTGGCGTCAAAACACTACGGCACATTAATTAATTTATTTAAGGTATTGAATATTTTTTTTTAAATTTGAAAAAATTATGGTGTGTTCTGAACACTATAATTAATTTATTCCCGTTGGAAATTTTACTTAAAGTTAATTTTTCAACAAGTTAAATAATTGTTAACTAACGAAATTTTCTCGAACGACCGTCTTAATTGTAAGTGAAAAAAAATGTTTTAATAATGGTCGTAAAAATATTTCGCTTCTAGAGCCTTTCTTACTCTACTTAACAAGATCGTGCCATAAAAGTTAAAGAAATATTTATACTTTGTTTATAACAATTTTTTTACTTAAACAAAAACTTAAAAATCCAAGTAATGTTGTTAAAAAATTTTTTTTTTTTCTAAATCATCAAATTATCGTTTTTATATTAATACAAGATATTTATTGATTTGCAAAAAAAAATTTCCCTCATTTGATAATTTTTTTAAACAAATTGATTAAATCAATTGTTTTAAAAAAAAATTTCTAACTTTATTACATTACAAATATTATGATTGTTTAAAAAAAAATTTCCTTAATAACATATTTTAATTGTTTATAATCGTTTTTTTATATTTCTTTTGTTTAAATAATTAGTTAAGAAATTTTTTTTTTTAAAAATCATAATTCACAATCCTCTATAAAGTAAAGAAAAAAATTTTTTTAATCAACAATTCTTTGTTTATTACTTACCAATTTGTTATAAACAAATGTTCAACTTTTTATATTTTTTTCTAAAACTCTAAAATTAACAACTTTACAAAATATAGAAAAAATTTTTTTAAATTTTTTGATTATCATGAATATTACTTTTATTAAAAAAATTTTTTTTTTTTTATCTTTGTTATATATGTTTGTTTTTGTTAATTTTAGAAGTTTTAGAAAAAAATATAAAAGTTGAAATTTGTTTATACATTGGTAAGTTAATAAACAATAAAGTGTTGATTAAAAAAATTTTTTGTTACTTTATAGAGGACTGTCAATTATGATTTTTAAAAAAAAATTTCTTAACTAATTATTTAAACAATAGAAATATAAAAAAACATTTAAACAATTAAAATATGTTATTAAGGAAATTTTTTTTAAACAATCATAATATTTGTAATGTAATAAAGTTTGAATTTTTTTTTAAAACAATTGATTTAATCAATTTGTTTAAAAAAATTATCAACAATGGCGGAAATTTTTTTTTGCAAATCAATAAATATCTTGTATTAATATAAAAACGATATTTGTGATTTAGAAAAAAAAAAAAATTTTTTAACAACATTACTTGGATTTTTAAGTTTTTGTTTAAGTAAAAAAATTGTTATAAACAAAGTATAAATATTTCTTTAACTTTTATGGCACGATCTTGTTAAGTATGTATGTAAGAAAGGCTCTACGAACGAAATATTTTTACGACCATTATTAAAACATTTTTTCACTTACAATTAAGACGGTCGTTCGAGAAAATTTCGTTAGTTAACAATTATTTAACTTGTTGAAAAATTAACTTATAAGTAAAATTTCCAACGGAATAAATTAATTATAGTGTTCAGAACACACCATAATTTTTCAAATTTAAAAAAATATTCAATACCTTAAATAAATTAATTAATGTGCCGTAGTCGCTTTTGACGCCACCGCGAATCCTAAAAATGTCACGCACAGACCTATTTTCAGCGTTAAATTAAAGTTATAAATAATGGAGATAGAGTTCCGGGAGCTGAGAGTTTTTATTGAAATTTCCTCCTCTTTTCAGAATCTTTATTTGAAATTTCTTAAATATTAATAGTTTATTAAATATTGGCAAAAACTAAATTCCATTTTTTTCATCTTTAATGGTCTATAACAATTTTTTATGTGCTAATACACGCTTTTAGCACATTTTCAGGCGTCATTCCGGTTCGAATGAGCTATCGCACATAATTTTAAGAGCAGTATCTCTATTTTGTTCCATTTTCAACTTGTCGACTAGACTAGTAGGTTAATTTTTACAAACCATTTACAAATTACAATAAAAAAGCATATAAAATAATCTATATTAATAAAACAAAAAAAATTACAGTTTTAGTTATAAACCTACTTACACAGTAACTTTTAGGCATAAGTGCAATTACAATGCAATTAAATAAAGTATTATTATTACATTTCAGCACCATACACAACATAACTTTTAAGTAAATGTGGCACAAAACAATAAACTCAGCATTTTTTATAATCTAATAGAAAACAAATTACAGTACTAGTATAAAAAACCACTTTATCACTAGAGTAAGAGTTGTTATAGTGGCATTTAAATACTTTTAATCCCACTTGGTTATGGCGGTTAGATTTTATTCATCTCCTTGTCCATTTTTGTGACCTTGCATTTCTTCATATTTTAACCGCCACATTGTAGCTTCTTCCTCTAATTCTTGAACTCTTAACTTTTGTTCCTCCAATAATGCCTTGGTCAATGTAAACTTATGTGTCAATACTGCAATGTCTGAAGCATCTTCAATTCTATGTTCAATAAGAGTAGACTTAGCCATTTGCACAGTGTCTTCAGCCTTTATTATTATTTCTTGAGCCTTTAACTCAAGTTCATGCTGTATAATGATCATGGTCACAAGTCTCCTTATTACAAATGCAAGAAATATCGCAAAACCCGTAATATAAAAATTTCTTTGTGCTCTAAATAATTTAACATTACCTTTCATTTCATTAGTAAGATGAACATGATCAGTTGTGTGAGAATATTTACGCATCTCTCTAACGGCGTCCATTAAGAATAGCGCAAGAACTCCCAGAAGAACATAGAAATATACAGCTGCTTGTTGCTGAAACATGGAGAATAATCGAGAACGAAAAAAGGTATGCCATTTTCTAGGGCTAAATATTGGTAGGATCATTACAGTAACTATAGCTATTTCAAAATAAAGATAGCCTGCGATAAATGACCATTGAATCGACATTGTAATATTAAATTTTTAAAAATGCGAAGCCGGTTGCACTACTTTCTTGGTACTAGCACAATCACGATATAAACAAGTTTCTCCAAAGGTTTATACTTTATTTTGTTGAAGGTCGTGTTCAATGCCGATTCAATATGTGCAATATGAAACTTTCCAGCAACAATATTTATAGCACCACACATTCAAATTAATTAAAACTGTGCGTAAATATCAGGTTTTTTTAGTAATTCTTGAAACTACGTTCATTTCACATTTGAAGGTGACAAATGACATTAGCCTCTGTCAATTATATTTTGATGTCAACAGTCAATAGTCAGGTCATTCCCCAATCATTCAGACTAATTATTGATAAAAAAAATATAATATTCTGAAATGTTATTTAAATTTTCAATTTCTTTAGAGTTGTGCTAATTATGAATAACATTGAGCTTGATATATGGCGAGGTGAATGGGGCCTCGCCTCAATAGATATAGAATGCCTTAAAGTTTTAGTAAGTTCAAAAGCTGAAGTTATAATATAACCTTTCCTATATAACTACCAACCGGTGAATAACTTTTTATTATTTCAGACGTATATGAAATTTATTGGTGTACCTGTGCGAGTTCGAGAAGTAAGCAATCCATTCTTCACACCAAAAGGAACATTGCCTGTTCTGCGAGACGGTAGAAAAGCACTGACGAATTTTGAAGAAGTTGTAGCATATTTAAAATCTTTAGTAAGTCTACTAGCGACTGAACTACTTGAATATTAATCAGACATAAAATGTTTGGGTTATTTATACTAATGAGAAAATAATATTTTATAACAATACAATGTGTGGTAGGATTACATATTTACCAAAATTCTGTAATCCCTTAAATATTAGCTCAATATAGCAAACAACCATTGAGAGGTAGTTAAATTTATCTATAGGTGAACCTAAGTTGGTACGTAGCTTCAATTGAATTTGATAAAATTGAATGGTGTTTATTTGACATATCCTATGTTTTTATGCAAACTGAGTCAAGTGCAACAGTGTTAAATGTAGCTATTTGTTTTTTAGGATTATAGCACAGATGTTCATTTGAATACAAAGCAAGCAGCAGAAGCCAGTGCCTTCACACAACACATTAGGGAAAAGCTTTATCCCGCTTACCAGTATGCATGGTGGGTTGATGAAAAGAACTATGCAGATCTTACCAGACCAACATATGCTAAGGCACTTCAGATTCCTTTTAATTTCTTTTATCCATCTAAATATCAAAAGGCAGCAAAGGAAATGATTGATGCACTGTATGGAGAGCATACAGATTTAAGAGAAATTGAGAAAACTGTAAGTTTAGTTCAAATATTAATTATTGAGTTTACTCTACAATTTAAATAAAAAGAATTCTATATTTCAAGTTGTCTTTTTCTAAATAATAGCCTTTCTAAATGTGTCTTTAATGTTGCTGAGCATTAAATTAAGGAAAAAATACTAATATGCTTTATAAATTAATTAATTGACATTAGTACATGTACATTGTACATCAAGGACTTGAGAATCAGCTAGGAAAAATTAAAAGAAACTCACTTTACCCATTTCACAATCAATTTACCGAAACATACACAATGTTTTAGGTCTATAGTGAAGCTGAAAAATGCCTGAAAACACTGTCAGATCGGCTTGGTGAAAGTGAATATTTCTTTGGCAATCGTCCATCATCATTTGATGCAACTGTGTTTGCATACCTGGCACCCTTATATAAGGCACCTTTTCCAAATGGGACACTGGCAAGCCATGTAAAGGGCATCGCCAACCTTACAAGATTTGTTGCAAGAATAAATCAGAAGAATTTTAGGCACGTCACTGACGGTGAGTATTATGATAGCAGTGTCTAAAATATCTCTAACTCAATAATGCTGTATTATAAATTTTCTTTGTTTATTCTTTATTTATTAATTCAATTATGTAATAGCATAGGTAAGTATTTTTTCACTGTTGGACAAATTACTATAAAAATTATAGTTAATTATAATTGATTGATTTGTTTTATTTTATTTCAGAATACAACAAACAAAATGCAAAGAAACAGTCCACAGGGACCCAATCTGATAGAGAAGCTGCCAATTTTCCAAATCAGACTCGAAATAAAATACTAGCTGCTATTTTTGCTGGTATTGCCATGACTGGGTATGCTGTTGCTAATGGCATGTTTCAGGTGAGATTACTTGCCTTACTTACCTTTTACCTTTGTTCAATTCAAAATTAATGAATATGAGTAAATGGTAGTTGATTAAAAAAATTGGGATTATACAAACAATTTCCATTTAATTATTTTAATTTGATTGAATTAGAAGTAATAGTGTTATGAGATTTAGCTTCATTCAATTTTTTTTACAGTCTTAATTTTTGTATTTATTCTATTATGTTGGCTCATGTTTGGTTTTTTTAAAAGGACTGTATTTCCATCCATAAAATAGTTGTTAGATTTTAAAGACCATACATAAGAATTGCTTGTGTGAACCTACCATATAGCTGTTAATAATTATTATCATAGGATTCAGAGATGCATTATAGGCATGTTCTAAAGTATAAAATTATGCAAAAGATAAAAATATCCTTAGCGTAATTAAACATACCATTATAGCTGACTTAAATAAGTGAATTATTATTAATCTATACTTACGACATTCTTGTCAGTCAAAAGTTACCTACTTATATCCCTCTCTGATAGTATCTATAAATATCAAAAACCATTTGTTCCTTTGGTCTCAAATTTATTGATAGTTTTTCCTAATAGACAACTAGGTTATCAGCTTTCAGAGTCGAGAAGTTAGCTAAGTATTACATATAACAAAAACGTTTATATGTTACATACTCGCACCTGTTTCCTCACACTGTGAAAAACATTTATTGTACAAGCATAATGCCTTTTTCACCATACTATATCTCTGAATCGTATGGTAAAGTTGTAATCTTATTCATTCTCATTTGTCTGTTTGTCAGGAGTTGAAAGAGTTTGAGCATACGCAAGACTACAGCGATATGTTTGAGAATGAAGCGGACGACAACTGACAGGCTGTCCTTGTCGCAGAGTGGTCTACCCGTAGACAATTTTTTTTTTATTACACATTTTATTCCCTCATAACTCTCCAAATTGCGAGAAGAACATTTAAGTTATTTTTAATTTCGTCTTAATATTTGTTTCGTTGATTCCATTATTTCGTTCTATACTAGGAGTTTTTTATTTTTTATGATTTTGCATTTAAATAGACGCTGTATATGTTAGAGAATTATTATTGTTTTCATATAACACGCGAAAACTTGTTTTATGTCACAATTCTTAATGTACACTCGCCATTCCAATTCTATTATATTAACCTCGATCGTACGATGAAGTTTAATTCAATTAAAACTTCCCAAACATTTAGAAATTGTGGTGTTTTTTCCATTCATTTTTAACTTATTTTTAAAGGGAAAAGCACTTTGGGGCTACGATTTACACTTTTAACATGTTTATTGTTCCAAGAAATTTATATTTAAATGTCAGTAGCTAGAGTACCTACTGTTGATATCCAAATTGCTTATTATAACTGCCTACAGACTGTCTAAGTGCATTTATATTTAAAGCAATAATATATGTAACGATATTTGGAATGGTAAATAGAAGGGATGCGATTTGTAGAGCGTACTACTAGTTATGATAGATTTCTATCACAGAATTTGATCAAAGGTTAAAGGTTCTTAATTATGGGAAGAAAAGTAAAGAAATAGGCTTCATTAGATGCTAATGAGTAGTGAGTAGAATGCGATTTTGTTTGAGCTGATGAAAGAATTTGTTTTTGAGTGAATAAATATTGTTTGTTGATTCCGTCTTTTATTTTCCAATAAAAGTTCTTGAGTTTTTATTAAGACCAAACATTTTTAGCTTCACATAGTTTTTAGTCAATTGTGAATTTGAGGTTTTGAGACAGCAACACTGGGGATGCAAATCCTATATTCTGATTTAATAAACTTATTTGATCTCTAGACCATCCCTGATCATCAGGTAACACTGCCTTCAAATTACACAAATTAATATAAATACCAAATTGCAAGAATATTTACTTATAAAGAATGACTTTCAGCGATGGTCATCATGGAGTTGGCAGAAAACGGTGTCGCTCAATCGGTTCCGAATAGCGAAGAAACATTTCGAGAAAATTAAAAGGGTCAAAGCTGCAAAGGAAGAATCTGTCTAGCATAATATTAAATTAGGACAAAATTGATCTCAGGGGTTAGCACAAATTTCATTGTTAAGCCTAAAGCTACCATTGATAGAGATAGATAGACATTAGACCTCATATGAATGGAAACTTATGCCCAATTGTATTAGCATTCGTATAGCATAGTATAATTTACTTTGTCAAGCTTCACAGATAGAAAGAAATTAGAAGAAATTATGTTTTTTCATGAAACTTGTACTAACGCCATAATATACTCCATTGTACTTTCTGAAATAAATTATTTAATTTGTAGTACATACAAAAGAAAATGTTACTATCCCAAGTATATAATAAATTATGATGAATGAGCAAATAATCAGTAAAGTTAAAATATGTCGTTATTATGTTATTGCTATGGATCATTTGAACTGTATTATAACAAAATATATGTGTACAGATAGACAAAAGAATTATATTAGATATTTTAGTAAATAAAAAACAAATGAAACCTCAATATGGTATATATTTACTTTATTTGATCTTCCTTTTGCGTCGCTTATGCTTAATAATACAAATAATTAACACATTTTGTGTTTCCAAAATAAAACGACGTATTATTGCCAGTACAAAATAATATTTTTTAAATCATTGTAATCAAATGGCACTTAAACTGAAGTTTTTCATTTCGTATAATTTACAATAAACTGTTATATACAATTTGTATAATAACATTTTTTGTACTGAAAACCGTATAATTGGATAGACTGCATATAAGTAATCGCTATGTTACAACTGGTGAATATATTATTCTCATTAATATTAATAACAAACTAAAATTAGCTGTCATATTTACAACATAATCTTTATTTAGTAACGCTTTTGGTTTAATGGTAAACCACTTGGTATTGTTTCAATTCTGATTTACATCTTTAATGAAGCTTTCAATAAACTAATCCTGTTGTTTTAATGATACATAATTGGAATATATTTTAAGTCGTATTAAAAAACAAAAAATATTATATGAACTTAATTTTCGAACCAAACAATTTTGACAAGAAAATTATCATTATCATTTGACCCTTTATGTTAAATACGTAACATAGATATTGGTAACAGCATCGTTAATTATATTTCACAATCATTTTACAAGACTTAAGAAAGTAATATTACGTCCATCTTAAATATTGGACAATAAAACGTACAAAAATAATGAACGCCAATCTATATAACCTATTAATAACTCGTAGTTATAAGACCGGTTCAAGCTAACAACAACAAGGTGATAGCTTAAGAAGGAAATAGTTGCTTCGATATGTTACTTAACAAAAAGTAGGAATTTATTGAATCATACTTTTTAGTATCTCTTATTTTTTCGTTAATAATACTATAGATAGATTAATTTTTAAGTCATAGTTAGCTCCGGTCCTATCTTCGACAATAAATAATTCTTACGAAAATATACTAATTTGCTCAATTTATGCTTTAGCATAGTTTCTATATATAACATGTGATTAACCTATGGTTTATTTACAAATAACTACAATGATTTATAATGGGACAGCGATCGCAGTCAATCCTTAAAACTAAATTAAAAACAAGTTAAATTAACTTGAATACATGAAATCATTTAAATATATTAAAACATAAAATCTACTTTATAAATACTAAAAATAATTTCAATAAAAACAGTACAATTTCAAAACGTATGTACTCTATCTACAACTGTTACTAATTAAGATAACCAAATATTTTTGCATTACAAAGAATTTTTGTGTAACCAGTAAATTTGTTGTCTCTCACTCAAATAGATATATTTATTCATTTGCATTTTTTTATGTTACACGAAAATATTTCGCATTGGAAAATGTTATTATTTTAAAACGTGTTAATCTCTCGCTCTTATCTGTACGTAAAAAGCAAGACGGCTATATAATTTTTTGGTACATTAAAATTTCTACCATTCTATTATAATTCCCTTTACCATACAAACAGTGAACAATGTCATCATTAACTCTGCAAACAAAATAATAAAAACACATTTTTTTTACTGTACTACAATCAGTCGAAACAAATCAATAAACATTTTAAAATTTGTATAATTGTATACATTTGAAATAAGGTCATCAGGCGACAGTGACTATTTCAAACCAATATTATTTTTATTTTCTAGAGTATAAGAGTAAACAAACACTACATAAAATTAATCCGGCGCATTTAAAAGACTCTGTGAATCCAAGAGCTGAGTGGCATCGATGAGGCTCACTTGCATGGCGTCGAGGCTCCGGGCGACGCTGTCTCCGGTCTTGAGACTGAAGGGGTAGAAGCGGGTGACGGCCGGCGGAGAAGGCGGAGGCTCGTAATCTCTTCCGTTGCGATCGTTCATTATCGAAAGGGACGATAGGTGACTGTTTAGCTTTTGAATCTGAAAGGGAACACCAATATTAACCAGTTGTCCTGGAAATTCCCTTCTTAACTACGCAGCGTACAACGGGCGCGAGCTGGACGTGTCAACATTCTCACCGCGTTTTAAATTCACGTCGAACCATTTATCAATCCCTAATAGGGCGAAATATACATTTAGGACGTATTCATAATATGTCCTACTCATACACGCTATTGTTAACGACTGACGTATTTATATGCACAGTTAACAGGTTTCTCGAGGTTAAAAGGAAAAACGCTTTTTTTTTCATTGAATATGGGGGGCTAAATTTAGGCCAAAAAGGGCAGTGATCGCAGCCCATGGTCACCCATATATAGTGAGTCCCTTGCCGGCCTTTGAGGGATGACTACACTCGTACTTTGAACCATTGGAGGTCGTATCTCTCAGGGAAGTCCCCACCGAAAGTCGATCGTTTTTTCTTCCCGTAATAACATAAGGGGTAGCAAACTTTAAACTTATATGCTTTTAAAGAAAGTTTTATAATAGTTCCTATCTACTAATGTGAAAAATTAGAATAGTGACCTGTGCCTTAACCGAGCAGTTGTACAAGAAGTACTGCACTCGGCCCGCAGAGGGCGCATCGAGAGGAGGCAGCCACCGCTCGTAGCACTGTGACCACACTTCTATGGCCGCTATGTTGGTGCAGGGCTCCAGGCGCCCGTTCTCGCTCGCCGATTTGCGGCTGCACACGGATGACATTGCTGGAAATAATAAACAAATTCGGATTTTTGTAAAGCTTAGGTTATCTAGAAAAGCGGTGCCGTTATCTAATGGCCGTAGTGTAGCATTGGGTGACGTCACCCATACGTTGTCTGTAAATAACATCGGAGTAGGTTTTCTAGAAAACGTTGAGTGTCACCGTAACGTCAAATAGCGGTGCTGTCATTTGTATGACGGCCGTCAAAGCGGTGATAAACATTAGTTTAACGTTTTTCGCGTGTAGCGGTGGCCATATTTAATTAATACAATGAGTGGAAACGTGTACTATAAATATTATCCCTGAGGTCGAAGTTTCGATCCCCGGCTTTGTGCTTTCGGCAGCAATGGACTTTCTTATATGCGCGCATTTAACATTCGCTCGAACGGTGAAGGAAAACATCGTGAGGAAACAGGCTTGCCTTAGACCCAAACAGTTGTTAGTGTCAGGCACAGAGGCTGAGCACCTACTTTTAGATTATTACACCTACTAGATTGACAAATGATCATGAAACAGATAGAGATATCTGAGGCCCAGACCTAAAAAGGTTGTAGCGCCACTGATTTTATTTAAGTATGACTTATTTTTATTTTATATTAAATAATTTTATTAAATTTTGAAATAAATGATCAATTCTCATCATAAAATAGCATCGGTGGGCTGCCTTATCGGCACAATTAGTGAATAAAAAAATTAAGGTACAATTAAACTAACTAATAAACAGTTTTTAGTAAGCAAGCGGCAATTAGTATATTTTTCAAATATTTTGTCACGTATATTAAAATAGATAATCTGAAGATATTAAGCTTACACAATCTCTGTGAAGGCGTCGTACTCCGTTGACCAACGTACAAGGGGTTGTAGAACAAAGCGATGTCTTGTTCGCTGAATTGTTCAGCCCAGTCCCAAATCGGTCGTTGGGTGAAATTCTGTAATATTTTATTTATTTATTGCATACAGAATCTGAATTAAATACATATAACAATATAGCCATTAAATTGCGGCATTAAACGTCACAAACATATTTAAACACCGATGCTTCATAGATAGCCGATGCAAGAAACCTGTTTTCGTCGAGAATTCTCATTCGAATACAATCCTGTATTCGAATTAGAATTAGGTATTAGAATGCGTCCGTATACGTTAGAAACGTACACCAACGATCCAGTTATAACATAAATACATAATTTTTACAAACGGTAAATCGAAAAAAACATTTTATAAAGGATAATTTTAAACAGGATTAATCAAAACCGAAATAACTAGAATTTTCCTCAGGAAACTTTTCTCAATTTTGGATGAAAATACAACAGTTTTTGAACAAAGGAATAACAATTTATGTTCAATTACAATTAAATTAATCTCTTTTAACCAATTCATTAAAAACACCATAACGTGACTGACATTCACAAAGTTTCGATAATTAATCAACTTTTACAAATCGATAATAAAAAGTTCAAAAACTTAAACTCTACAACTTTCAAGAAATCGTTAAATATTTTATAAATAAATGAATCTACCTTCATAACAGCCAAGTCCCGATCCCTGGGACAGTTAAACAAAAAGGTGTCGAAGAGATGATTATTCGCAGCGTCCCAGAGCGTCGTGAGGTAGGTCTCCGTAAACTGGAAGGCCGAGGGAAACTGGCTTTGCAGCTGCCACACACAATCCAGAAAGAGAAGAAAGACAGGAGCACTTTGTGATGGAGGAGATTTGTCCATGTCTTCTTTTGTGGTTCCGGGGCGTGGCAGGCCGAATCTGAGTAAATGAAAATCTTATTATTATTAAAAACCAGCTGAACCGTACTACGTACCGCCTAACCATCGATGAACTAACTAAACTTTTAGCTGAATTAAAATAATTGTCTTTAAGGCAAATGTACATAAAGTTCTTGTCTATGACGTCAGGAAAATGTCGAAGCAAATATCAAGTTGTCTTACCTGTTTTGTCTTTGGTTCTATATATTTTTGTTTACGATATTTTTCACTTGAATCTTTTCTATTTCTAATTACATTGCTATTCGGCTTGAAGAGGAATTCAACAGAATAAAAATCATCAAAATCGATCCAGTCACTCTTGCAAATAGCCCAACCGTGTTTAATATATAGGAATAAATAGTTAGGAATGTTAACGCTTTCATAATTTTATATTTAGCTGTCATTTTGGCTTTCATTTTTATCCTTAAAAGTTGTATGTTACTTTAATGTCACCAATTAATATTAATTTCTGCCAACACATTTAAAACTTAAGAAATACCATAATCTATGCTAATATTATAAAGAGAAAATATTTGTATATTTTTATGTTTGATCCAATATCTAAAGAATTGTGTATATAAAATATGTAAACATAAGTCATTTACCTGTCACAGAAGGGATGTCCGAGCGCCAACCACTCCTTTTGAATAAGGGACTGGAACCCTGAAAGGGTCCTAAAATGCGGGTCCAACAGTAGTTGGGTGATGCAGGATACCACAGCGCAGTAGTCTACACCGTCACCTGTGTAAACAATGAGGGTAGTTTATTGTTAAATAGTGGGTACATAACTCAAAATAAATGTCTATCATGTTCTTTCGACTGTTCATCGACTTCGATGCTGAAAAGCGTGCTCAACGCGCCATTCTTAAGACATCCTTTATGAAATATTTTCGCTACCCAACTTTAAAATTGTACAATGAACAAAGTTATAATGTAATAATGTTTATTCTTTCTTTTCTTTCATTATACTTGTCCTTTACTGTATTTATAATCAAGAAAACAGTCCAATTATTGTACTTTCAATACAGCATTCATTTGTCTCTTTTCTTCACAGTGTAAACACAATTTATCAGAAAGAGATTACTTTAGTTTATTATGAATAAGGTAAGGATAATTAAAGAAAATAAATAGTAAATCCATTTCACACAGATATAAGCACAAGTATTTGTAAAAAAAAATAATCGACGATAACCTCCTCCTTATTGAAGTCGGTTAAAATGATGTTTGCTTTTTTTCCTTTACGTCACGTGTGTTAAAACTCACCTTCCTGCAGCACAACAGTGACATTATCAACGATATGCCTCGCGGCGTCGTCCGCGAACGTGATGCAGTTGCACACGTACCGCAGCCATCGGCTTGATTCCAGTATCGAATAGTACTGGGAGTCTTGCATCTGGAATGCAAGCATTTATCAAAGGTATCTTAAAATTTGAAGCACTTTTGTAGTCGGTTTAAATGATTTTTGATTATCATATCTTACGTATAAGGATCATAGAATATTTTTAAAATATTTACCCAAAACTGTGAAAGCGTGTTCGGAGTACACAGATCTGCTAATTTCTTGTATGAGGAATTTAGCATCGCTAGCGAAGGTAGCACGTTGGCACTACTACTATTTGTATAACTATTTCCGCAAAGGTAGATCACGTACGGCGGCGTCAGTTTGGGGTGCGACCGCCGGACCTGCAATTTTATTGTAATTTAAAAAAAATATATATATATTTGAAAACTATGTCAATGTCAATGTATAGCTATGCTAAATCCACAGAAGTAGGTAAAGATATTTTTCAAAAAAAATATTTTTGTTTCTTCCAGTCTAGTTTCACATTACTTAATGCATGTTTTACTTAACAACAGCCAAAATATTGCTTTTAACTATTTATTTTAAAAAAAACGTCGCTCAAACCATACCTGTTCCAAAAGTACACTTTCTGCCGTGGCCGACAATTCCGTAGGCAACAGCTCCCCGCTCCTCAACAACGCCGCGCCTTCCGCCCTTCCCCAAACCCAGACCGGAACTCGTCCCGACCGAAAGTGCCTCGCACTCTCCATCAAATTGTAATCTAAAACCGAACTGGGTACTATCAAAGTTTCTCCAGCCGTCAACATGAAGGCGTCCGATGTCCCATTGATACACGTGATCCTCCAATGGGGACACTCGCATCTCTCCAGCTCTCTCTTCCAATCGGCCGGTCGGTGGAACATGTTCATGTCTGACGGCAACGTTGGGTAATAGGGCTCTCTGTACTCGAAGGCGAATAACAGATCGTGCCGTTTTGGAAACGCATGGTGGAGCAACGCCATCACGACTTGACGCGCGGTGCCGAGTGGGGAGTTCGCGAAGTTGAAAGATATGACTTTCATATTCTGGAAGGTATTGTAATTTTAATTTTTAATGTAAATACTATAATTTAATTTAAAAAAACGTTCTTAAGCGCCTATCAGGTGCCAAAACCACATTGTTAAGCGAATAAATATTTTAAATTGACTAGTAAAAAGTAGTGTAATATTATTATTGTATTTTTACTAGTTTTTGTAAAATTTATGTTCACTATATTGTCATGTATTTAAGAGTAGATTGTAACTTAAAATACATTATATATGATGTGATGTGCTTATTGGTTAATAAATAAATAATGAATCCTTGTCGCTGATATTATGGATATTTTTTTTATAGAACAGGGGGCAAACGAGCAGGCTCATGTGATGTTAAGTGATACAGCCGCCCATGAACACTCTCAATGCCAGAGGGCTCGCGAGTGCGTTGCTGGCCTTTTAAAAATTGGTACGCTCTTTTCTTAAAGGTCCCTAAGTCGAATTGGTTCGGAAATACTTCAGTGGGCAGCTGGTTCCACAAAGTGGTGGTGCGCGGCAAAAGCTGCCTTGAAAAACGCTTAGTTGTGGAACAAAAGTCTAAAGTCTTTGCTAGTCTTGCTTCAGGTTCACTATCATTTGCATCGAATCTGGCAGCATCAGATCAGAATAAACCCACCAGTATTTTTTAATTTGAACTAACACAAAGTTTTATAAAACTAGGACATAAAAACATAATTAAAGCTTTTGACTACTTTTAAACATCAATCTGAAAAAAATATTTATTTATTTAAGTATCTGTCATGTGTCAAAACTGACGTTTCATTTATCTGTAATATTGAGAGTTTGTTACTCTTTGTAGTGAGACGAGTTTTAACTCATAACTGTCACTTGAGTTTTTACAAGAAGAATTTTTTGTTAAAATATTTTCAGCTTTTAATTGGGTATTAAAATAATTCTTTGAACTTTTATTAAATAAGAAAATGTTGTTTCAGCAACACATTGGAGTTTCATTCAACATAAACATACCCCATTTTACAGTATTCTTAAGAAATTCTATAATATCTTGAATAACATATAAATTGTATACCTTACAAACAAGTTGTATGCCTTTAAGCTTCACGGGAATATCAGTTCTGGGCATGAGGCGTCTCCGTCGCGTTGTCCCTCCGTCCGTTAACCACAGAGCTCCGACACACGTTAAGGGAACATCGAACACACCAACTAAGTTATTTCTTTGTCCATATTCCTGAAATATTTCATAAGAATGTATCTAGTACCGGCGACCCTCTCTGGCTTTGCACGGGCATTCGTAACCTATACAAAAGATATGATATACAAGTTAAACATAGACTTTTTATTGACATATATCTCTCATCGTTACGGTGGCGTTCGTAGGAAACGTTTTCATTAGTTTTTTCCTACTTTGCAAATACGACTACCATGAAATCTTTTAACTTTCATCGGGCATTTCTTTCAGGCATATGATACTTACATATAACGTGACTTTATATCGGTAAAAGATTTTTATAATGGGTTCAGTAAATCCTGATGTTACGCCCTACAACCTCAAACAGTTAACCTCCATTATAATATAAGAATAAATTAGAAGGTTTTCAATGTTTTTTATTGTTTTTGACCTAATTAACACATATTTAAATATAATACAAACAAGAAAATTGTTAATTTATTTATAAATATGTGTGGAAATCTGTGAAATGGTCATTTCATTATCGGGAGTATTAGAGATAGAGAGGAGGTAAAACTCAGCCTAGTAGGAGGTGATTTTGGTGGGAATTACGCACCCAGACTCTGGTGGGGGTCGGGCTTAACATACTGTTACTTTCAATGGGGCGGGGGTTGTGCTTTTCCACCTCAGATAGAAAAACAGGCATGAGATGCTAATTACTTCATTATAATATTTAAGACATTGTAATAATAAATACAACGAATAGAATGAGGTCAGAACCAGATGCGGGAGATACTCAAACCGCGGGAGGCCCCGCACACGTGACGTCGTGATACGAACAAACACTCACTCACGTCACTGAAGAAATAATATTGTGCGTACATTTTAATATATGTATAAGGAAAACTAAAGTTTATATTTTTTAAATAGACTAAACATTATAAAAATATAACGTCAATTCTATTTTATTAATATTTTTAGCAGTTGACATAGCAAGTTTTGTTGGCATAGATTATCAATAATATAGCATAGTTACATTGTTGGGGGCCTCATAGCCTAGCGGTCTTATTAAGTGGCAGCTAGGTGAGGGGTACCGGGTTCGATTCCCGGTTCGAGGGCAAGTTTTAATTTAATTTAAATTACCGGGTAGTGCCGGTAATTAATTAAGGTACCGGGCGAGTGCTTAAACCGTACATGGAGGACACGGTCGAATTTCTAAAGACAAGCACGAATTATAAAAAATCCTATACTTGACGCTGGTTAATGAAGAAATCGTGCCAGAGCCATTAAAAATAAAATTACATTGTTTTTTTTTTGTTAAAAATATATATTGTAACTAGGCACGTTAACGACTAGATTTGAATTGTCTGTGGTATTAATCATGTAAACTTACATCATTGGGCGAAGAGTCTAGTGGCACAAACGAAAGCTTATAATTGGTGACGAAAAGGGCGCCAAACCTTCCTCGCTCAAGTTCCCCAAGTGGTGTCAGCATCACCACACTGTGAGCCGTTCCTACGATCATTTCCCCTGAAAAAATATTACATATAAAGATTTTTCTGATAATGTTTAATCGTTATAAGACCGTAACAACAACAGCGAATGCAGTTTTCAATATATTATAATAAAATCAATGTACTATTAAATGATTTTTATTTAGAAAACGTTATGGAACAAACGAGAATTTGTTTGACTAGTAAAGAACCTAATCAAACTGAAATAGACATAGACATAACATTTCTTACTAACGAAACACACACACAGAAACACACAACATATTAATTAAAAAAAAAGAGATAATAGTAGCAATTTTTTTAAAGAATCAGGTACAAAGTGTGGTTGTAACCCTTGCCCTTGCTCAGGATTATGCTAAGGAGCAGACGTGTTCCACAGCGCCGGTCATTCTGCCAGAGACCACAACAGCTAGTTTGCGCCTCAGATGCAGAAGAAAAAGAATGTAATAATAATAATAGTAAAAATTAATATTGTAAGTGTAAAAGTATATCACCAGCTAGTTGTATAATAAAAAAAATATTAGTTTTATTATACAACTAGCTGGTACCCGCGACTTCGTTTTCGCAGGATTAAAATAATATTTGTCCAAATGATGTAGCGTGAAAGACATACTTTAAATAGCAGAAACTATAGAAGTATCTATTTTCATTTAGGAAGCAATTTATTACTACCAAATGTCCATTTGAAAAAAGTATCAATTTTTATTGTAGTTATGATTCACTATTTTGGCTATAATAGCTTACACATAAGATATACGTAGTCGGTCCCAAAGTTCTGTCATAAATGGAAATAATCATAAAAACAAAAGTACTGATCAGTTTTTAATGAGTGATATATCAATTCATAGTAAATTAATTAAGGAATAGAAATAGCATAAACTTATTCGAAATGACCTCCCTTATTTTTAATACAGGCCCTTAAGCGCCGCGGCCAGTCGTCTATCGCAGCACGCACCATATTCATGTCGATTTCAGTGACTGAGTTTTTTAAAGACGACTGCAGACTCTCCAAATTTTTATGGGGTGTATCACAGACCTTCCTCTCTAAGACCTGCTAAAATTTATAGTCCAAAGGATTAAGGTCCGGACTGGAGGAAGGCCAATCCTCATGTCTAATTAAATCGATGTTTTGACGCTCAAACCAGGCTTTAGTGGTCTTGGCTTTGTATGCAGGCTCAGAGTACTGCTGGAACACGAAGTGATGTCCCGCAAATAGGGTGCTGGACAGGTCTTTGACAAGGCGATCCAAAACCGTCTCTCGGTACACTTTAGCTCTGGTTTTGACCCCCTTTTGCAAAAATGAACCTCAGTTAGCCCGTAATAGGACACTCCCAACCAGACCATTACTGATGATGGATGATGTCCATGTTGTACCCTTGGAACTTTATTTTTAGCTTCTTCAGAACTCCTAGCGTACACTGTATCAATCTGTTTATTGTACTTCTCTTCATTATCGAAATTTTTTTCGTCCGTAAAGAGGATATCACGGTGTCGGTTTTTCGCGTACCGCTTAAACAACACCCGCGATCTCTTAAGCCTTATTGCTTTTAGACGAGCATTAAGTAAGTTCCCACTTTTTTTTTGTATGCTCGTAGACCAAGATCTTCATTTAAAACCTTTTTTATTGTTTTCCTACTGACAACCATCTGCAAAGCCATCAACTTCTGTTTTCTTACTATCCGCGCTTTGATAGCTTTGATTACTGCTGGTGTTCTTGCGGAGCGTGGCCGGCCAGTTATTTTCTTGTCCTCAACACTGGAGACTTCAAGGTACCTATCAATAGTACCGTACACAAACCTAAGCGTTATATTAAAATTTTTGAGCAACTTGAAAATGGTACTCGGCGAGTGCCCACAGCGGTGCAACACAATAACAACTATTCGGTCTTCTTTCAATGTCCACTCCGTCGTGAAAACTTACTGAAAGTTATTGTTTTTTATTTTAAAACAATAGTCAAACATTCCAAAATAGAATGCAATAACTTTTTTATAAAATCCTGCTCGAAATATAGAAATAATGTGCCAGTGACAGAACTTTGGGACCAACTACGTAGACATATATGTGTTATTTTGATGTATGAGCTATATTATTGTAGAGTTTGATTAAAATCCATTCAGTAGCCTTTACTTGAAAGAGAGAAAAATCCATCCATACTTATAAACTTTCGCGTTTATAATATTAGTAAGATTATTTTTATTAATTAGATGGTCCACGATATCCGATAAATATTACTAATTCATTGTAAGCCATACCTACGTAAGGTTTTAATCTGATTATACGGGTCATTTGAAAACCTTGGCCGGCAACATTGGACCAGATAGCAATTTCTTATCAAAAGAAAAAACGCAGCGCGCTGACCGTGAAACGAAATTGGCGTTAAGCGACACTTCGATCTCATTCTATAAAAATAACGTTACTTTTCTATTCTTTCAAGAGTCTTGAAAGATTAAATATTCATATTCAATAAGTATACGAAGATCTCGAACAAGACGTTGCTTCACATTTCTGTATTTCCAACAAGAAAGTAATCAATCAGCCTTCTGTGACTGTCATTTATGACAATTCCGATTTACTCAGATACATAGTCGGGATTCACACCCACAACCTCAAATTTATTGAGGCCCATTATTGAAGTAAACATGTTATATGTGATTTTGTAGCCAGAATAAACGCCCAGTTAGTTTGATGATTAAGGGTTTAGCTTAAACTGTAACGAATTAAGTTACACTTTTGCTTTTAGTAATAAATAAAACCATCTTAAAAAACTAACCGTCACAATTATTTCGCTATTTTATTTAAACCAGTGTATATATCAAAGTGATTGGATGTTTATATATTTATATTATATAACTTGTCCTTATGTTCTTTCATATACAAGGAATGTATACACACAGTTAAGATTAAGTATTCAGGTCGTTTCCTTAACACACAGCTAAATTTAGCAAGACGTACATCTAAACGATAATTTGTACTGTTTATTTATTTAGAAAACTTCGGATTTTAACATGATAAAAGCGATTGGAAAAACAATCGAATAATTCTTAACAAGTGTGTTTTGAAATACTTTATCAGTTCTTGAAAATTCTTTCAATGACCAATATACGGTATTATTAACAAAAATGTCCGTTATCCGAGGTATGATGGTGAGGTTGATTAGACGTCATCGAATGTTGATAAGACAACAGCAAGTATATGAATATGATTCACGCGATATTTTCAAGCATAAAAAAATGTTCAATAGGTTTACCGCAATGTCAGAATTTGGAATGTCAGTAACTTAAATTAATTGAATCCTTTATTTATTAAAACCTGGTAACCAGCACATTGTCTAACAGTTATTAAAATTTCACTTTTAATGAATTGAATTTAAAGGCAATTATTGTCGAACGACACAATTTACATTTGAGTTAAATAATTGTGATAATTAAAGCCGTGTAGTTAAAAATTCATATATAAATAAAAAATATATTTACCTACCTCTCTTCAACCGGCCCATGTTGACACCTTAACAATTAAATATCAACTACTGTATACATTCCCTATAAACTAGGCGCTAATCCATAAAATTATTAAGACGTTTATGACCTTTCTATCTATATATGTAAAGGTGGAAATGGCGTGAACGTGTTCAGTGTCGCAATAGGCGATACAGTTAGGGACGCGTAACGCATATATGATGCAGTTATTGTAATTTACATCATAGACTACGTCAAGATATAGTACCTACCTGTGTAATGATTAAGACACATAAACAACTATTCATTAAAGCTTACTGACATAAAATAAATTGTTAAAAGATAACTTACCATTCAATAACTTAGGCTTCAAGTCACGGACAGAACCATTCTTTTCTCCATTACCCTGAAAATAGTAAATAGATAAATTGTATATATATATTGTAAGATGCATAGAATATATTTTCAGGTTAGTTAGTATGTCTGTACTTCTAATTTCTGTAGTGTTTTAGAAAATCAGTTCCATATAGTGTCAGATAAGATATTTTTGATTGTATGTGTACTATTTAAAATTCCTCTTCAGGTAATAAACATACACAGTATACAAAATACAACTAATTCGTTAATAGTACAAAAATGTTCAGTCGTTTGAAATGGATATTTAAGCCATGCAAACAGTGTATTTATAGCTTACTTATCTTTATAAATATATTACAAATAAAATTGGAAATCCTTCCTTTTGCTGTTTTTGAAATTGTATAACAATAAATATTATCACACAATGGTGCAGAACAGGGCAAGGCTAAAAAGTATTTATAGATTCACTTGAAATTTAATTTGTATTTTCATAAAGTACTAAGATACCTAACTAAACAGCCAAAAACAGTTAGCAGGCGCCACATGAGGCACCAGATGAGGATCATGACAGTAGTAAACTATGTAACTTAATAGAATATATTAGTCTATATTTATTTAGTCAGACAAGCAGTAAAATAAATTATTTGTAAACACAGAAAGTAAAGAATACTGTTCAAACTTCATTTCCTTATGAAATTAAAAGTTTAATTTTCCTAAACTTATTCTTTTAAGATTAAGTAAGTAAGTAAGAATCGACCAAAGCATTTTGTCTAACAAGATAGTTAAGCTGTTAGCGAGCAGTTTCCAGCAGTTGAGAGATGTAAATGTATGTCAACATATCATAGATGATTTATGTTATTCAAGCAAGCACAACATTATAGGTAGATCAGGAGAAGAGAATACATTACCACGGAAGAAACATTGATGTAGCTCTTGAAATTCTGTACCAACTTTTTCTCATTCATTATGATCGTGTAGCTTCTCACTATTGACCCACATAAATCGTTACTACGTAACAATATCTGTTTATATTGCACACATAAATACAATCAATCGAACGAAATCGTTTCTACCGAGTAGAGGACACAGAATCCTCATGATTTGGACAAATTTCACCAAAATATGATAGCTATTCTAAAAGAACTGTAGGTAACACAGTAGAATTCAGAAAATTTTCAGGTGTATGGAACATTATTTCCAAAAAAATGTTGATTGTAATTTTCGTAATTTACTTAATAAAAAATATGATTCAAAACATTATAAAAAAATGCATTAATGGGAATATTTTAATTTTAATGTACATTGGTAGATTCAAGATTGTTTTTTTTTTTTTTTTGGCTGGCATATTCAAGATTGTAAATAGCTATGGCTACAGGCTAGTTAACACTTAACAGTTACCACAGGGCTCAGACTATCTGGTTAGATATTGAGAATTTGACAGCCAGAGGAAAGTCAACTTTTGTAATCCAGTAAGTATACAACAAAAAACATTATTTAATATAATTATTTCTGTCAGCATTGTTCTAAAAATAACAATTAATTATTTTTTTTACAATCGAAACATCTTTAGAGTATAACATTTAGTGCTTATCGTTGCGAATGCGTTTACGATCTTTAAGTATAAATTTAGATTTGGTAAAATAGGAACTAATTTTGAAAAAGGCAATTCACAGTTTAAGTAACAAAATCTATTAAAGACTTAAAACCTTAGAGGCCATATAAATGAATGAAAATCTGGTGTGAAAAGTAAGGTTGGTGGCGCCGTCACATACATGTTATACAGCTTGACAGCCTGTTAGTGATTTTAATATTTTTCAAAACTAGCTATAACCGCGACCTCGTTACGTCGAATAGTGACTTTCGGCAGCATTTTTATTAATTAAATAAATATTAATTTTGCTAAGAAAACACAAACATTAAAATAAGCAATTAAACAGTAGTTAACTACAAATACAAATACATTTTTGTACACGACGTTTTTAATTTTTCCATCTTTTGCCATAACAAGATTTTGCGTGTGTAATATCCGTGAGCATGCCACATGTTCTAAATGAACACTGCAACATAAAGCGTCTGTTCTGGAGCTTTAATCGTAATTAAACTGAAATAGCGAAGCAGTCAGAATAATTAGAATACGGCAATCAAAACATTTTCTTCTTTTGCCAGGCATGATTGATTTATAGAGTCTGGCTAATAAAAGAAGATAATTGAATTATTTGAAAACTTTCGGATGGCAACACAGAATGTCATTGAATTTATTAAGGTGGGAACTGACCAACGTTACGAGGTGTAATGTAACACGTTACACAGCGATCATTCGTGCAGTCAGTACGTCGTGTTACGGGGAAACCAGCGAGCAACGAGCCGCTCGTGGCTCGCTTAGAGTGCTCCACCCGGCTGTCGGTTTTTAGGCGAATCATTTGACTGTTACATGGTTCAGTCAGTACGCGTCGCACGTCGCGAGTGATCATGATTATGATTTTCTATAAATTGTGTCTTTTTTAAGTACTTTTGGTCCAATTAAATTCACGAGTTGTTCAAAATCGATAGGAGACATGCGTACAAAGTTTTTATACTGTCCAGTAATCATTTGGTTTTTTAAAATTGCTATTAATGACAAACCACCACATACGCCTCTGTTTTTAAATAAATTTGATGTCCAGTAACGTTTTTTCTTCTTCTTAGTTTGGATGAAACAATAATTAAGTTGAATCAAAGATACCAACGCGTCCTCGCTGTCGGCCATCTCGTGAACACTGGCGGCGAAAGCGGAGCACAAAGTTTTGACGAGCATGTTACGCCGATTTTAAAACACAGCGTAACATGCTCGATGCGTAACATGCTCGATGCGAATGCTACATTACACCTCGTAACTTTGGTCAGTTCCCACCATTAGGTTAGTATGATTTATTGTCTTGATACTTCATGCAATTACTCATTTTTATTTCTATTATATATTTTTTCCGAATGGTTAACAGGTATAATAGCCTAAACTTTGTTTTGTTGATTTTTTGGATTCTGATTTTGAATAAAGTTGTGTTTTATACTAAATATAGTTTTAGTTTTCCATGCAATGCTAGTCATTATAGGTATCAATAGTAAAAGACTAAATACGTATAGAATTTAATTTCATAGACATACAGTTACTATCAATGTAAAAAATAATAAAATAAAATCAAGTATAAAGTAAGTTTAATCCACAAAATATATCAATCTTTCAGGGATACCAAACTAAAAAAAAGGGTGCGTGTACTTATGTACGCGCGTAAGAAGTTATACTTCTTTGGCATTATTAAAAATAGTTTGGCTTTGTTCCACCTCCAGTTTTTGATGTTTCACAGCGATAAGATGACAACTCTTTTTTTGTATTCAATTTAGTGCACTTACACTGATTCATCAATTGTTTTTTGTCTCTTGTCCTTATATTTGCTAGAGAAAAATTACATGTTTTGATTAAACAATGTGGTAATTTTTTTAATCAAAACATTACTCGATAATAATAATACAAACTGATAGTTAACCTCAATTGTAATGAAGCACTTAGGAAGGTTGATGAGCACAGTTTTTTCACAAATATTAATTAGTATTGGTTTAAATATTCAATTTAAATCACTTCTGATTATATATAATTCAAAAAGCATTGCTAAATTTCTTTGAAAAAATAATTAAAACTCCTTTATTTGTTTAAAAGGTAAATGACAAATGTCATTACGGTCATTCAAAATTCTTGGCATACGAACTTCACGCATATCCTATTTCTTTTTACTTGTAGATTGTCTTATTCCTATCTCGCTCGCGCACGCTATAATCACACTCCTAATTTTGTGTCACAGGTGCGCGCGCATCGTAAAATTTCACTCTCATAAATTTTTCATAACGCGCCTAAAGAAGTATAACTTCAAAAAATTGAATTTGCCGCGCATTTTCTTTATCTTCTTTCATTAGCCAGACTCTCACTCTACTTTGTTTTTAATCTACTTTAAAAAAACTCGAAGAAGAAATTTTGTAAGCCCCACTCGTGGATATTTAACATGCATTGCGATATGTGGGGTGGCTCGCAAAAACCCTCTGATATACCGCCAACCGTCTGATAACACACTTCCATCCTGTAATAATAACACAAAGCTACGCAAGCTTACTTTATAACGTCAAGTATGTCATAAGTCATCTTCAGAATATTATAATAATCGGTTGTCATATATCACTGTCATAAAGCATGTTTCAAGAAATAAAAATGGCTACTAATAAATTTCTGTTCGTTTGAACTTTGAAAGCACAATATTCATTTAGGGATTTAATTCTAAAGTCATTTTATGAAATATTCGTGTGAAAGTGATTAATAGTTAACGATGGCTGATGCTACAGTGGGAAACCGACCCTCGGTTCGCTATTTTTGCCACAGATGTAACATTTATATGTTTGAAGATATTGTGGAGGTAAAAATCAATATAAATCGTTTAAATGACGCAATTAATAATTTTTCTTTTGAAATGGGTTATAATTATTAACACCACTACCAAGGTCAATAATATATATATATATGTCCTAAAGAGACCAGTCTGGATTTTTATTTTGTGTTATTCAGTATAAAGCTGGAAAATAAGTATCAAAAACGAAACGTACGTTTATTAAAAGCAATTGGGGTTTAACTTAATTTTGTTTCACAAAAGTTTGCTAATTGAAATCTGTAACCCTATTAAACAATACTATTATCTCTAGAAAAGTAATTTATAATTTTACTAAATTTTATGACTAGGATAAAATTTAATGAAATTGCCCACATACTTGAATGAATGATGAATCCTGATGTTATGCTTTAAATTTTATATGTAAAATATAAAAATTGTTTGAAACCTACAAACACCTACTGTAAAAATTGACAAATCAGCACACTATTCATTTGTATGTTGCTGTATACAGAGTACCAAAATAAGTATATTTAAAACATGTATACAATGTATATATCAACCAATCCAAATTGTTTGTCATTTATTTTAGGTAACTTATATATTTATAGTATATAATATATTATACATAATCCAAGAAAACTGTAAATCAACATCAAATTAGACTGTAAACACACAACTAAACTATCAGGTTTGTCTCTTATGATGAGATAACTGCTGATCTTATAAAATGGAGAAAACCCTGAGTGAGCAGTAATACACAGCCATGGCTCATACATTTTTAAAAGTGCCAAATAAAAATAAAACATTTACATACTAATATTTTTAGAACTACACATGTCCATTTTGTGAAAGTGGATTCCTTGAGAAGCTGGAAAATGGAGCAGATAGACCTTCACAGCAGAGTCAAACATTTAGTGATGCCAACATGAGCAACACCAATGATGCTAATAATAGGGGCAATACTAATCGCCGAGGATTTACATTGAATGTAAGTTGTTTAATATACTTAATTATTTAATATTTAAGTTGCCAACTACTAACTAATTGTTATATGTTTATTATGGGCATATCAATGTTAAGTAATTTTATGATTAGATTGTTTGTGTTTCAGAATGTGCCGAACATTCTACAAGATGTGGTGTTCCTGATGTCAGGGAATCGGTTAAGGTATGGATAATTATTATCGAGATTTCAATCTGATATATTATTTCTCTGATTTTTACTAACAAAAGAAATATAGAGTTTTGAACTGTGATTCAAAATTCAATATCTTTTTATGTCTTTGATATCTATTTTTTATTATAACAAAGAAACAATAACAAGTCTGTTGATTAAATATTTTGGTACATGTTGTGGATTAAAGAATTCCAAAAAGATATTAAAAACATTATTTATCAAATACCTAGTCAGTGTCCATACTTCTGTGCTTTTAATAGTAACTCTTTATTTGCATGCCTATCTTTTTATGGCTGATTGTGTGGTATTTCTTCATAATTGATCAACCTGAATGTACCACTTTCTTTGCAAATAAACAATAATTTTCATTATTAAACTTGTCAAAATCCAATTCAGCTAACCTTGAATTTGTCTTGATTCACTTCACTGTATGATAAGTCATTTTAGCAAATGCATGCAAGTTACATGAGTAATAAATAGTTTTATTTCAAAGAAATAAGATACTACACTTATTTCATTGTGGGTTACTTATACTTTCTTATTTTGAAAGTTTAAGGAGAAAATCTCAAGGTTGTACCTGTGTGTTACAGTGAAGCGACTAGACATCGTCTTAGGAATGAGGTGCGCTCATCAATGTTGAATCGTCGCCACGGTAATCGTCCACCAGGAGCCAGGACTTTAGGCTTTCTGAGATCACCAGGAGACTATGTGTTCGGAGGAGAAGGTATTTTTTGAAGAATTAACAATAAGTAAAATGCCCACTTATTTTTAGTTTTCAAGACTCAGTTATTAATTATTTAAAACTGACAAGTTATAAAATCATATGTGTATTTGGTTTATTGGGTGTATTATATACCATTTCAAAAACAGAGTACTAAGCATCAAATGATCTACTTCCAGCTCTGGATGCAGTGGTGACCCAGCTCATGGGTCAGTTGGAGTACTCAGGGGCTCCACCGATGCCTAGAGATATCCTCAGTGCCATCCCCAGTGAACCTGTCACCGAGGAACAGGCAGCCGCTAACATGCCTTGCTCTGTTTGCTGGGACAACTTTCTGTTAGGTCAGTATACTTCAAATCTAACATATAAAAACTATAAATGTGATTAATTCTAAACATGTTTTGGGTTTTTGCTAGATATATAATACAAAAACTCTATAATAGACAAAACTTAATGTAAAATATATTATTTTGTGAATTAATTTTTTTTTATTATTTGCAATGATTATAAATTGTGCAAATAATAATCTAAAAATAATAACAATAACAAAGATTGTATTAGTAAAATAAGATCAGAGCTATAAGAATTATATCTTTACTGGCTGAGTCCCGCTATTTCACGGCGCATTTCGGTCGTATGTAGGCATCTTCTCCATAAATGGTCTTTTTAACACAAAACAAATTTTTAAATTAATTATTCGTGAATGTCATGGCCGCATCGAAAATTTTATCACATGAAATGGTCAACCATTTCGTAATTAAAACTAAATAAACATTTGTGGTTATTTTTTATAAATGTCAAAGAACCTTATAAATATTTATTGGAGGTTATTTCATATACCAATTTACATTTAACTCATATTTTATGCTAAATTAATGGCATGGTCAAATATTGATTGAAATATTATTACATGAAGTGGACAAAAATTTACCTTATAACAAATAATGGACCAGGCGACTCTTGTGAATTTAGCTGCCGTTTGCCATGCTTAGTGCGGTAAATCCGTAGCCCCAACTTCTCTAACACATTGCATTATGTACAAAACGAACAATGTCGATAAATAAGCGAGTAAATGTTACGATTCGACCACAACTTGCATTTAAACGCTACAGGTTGACTTGTGTATAAAACAAAATAACGATTGACCTAATTGTTCCAGGTGAAATGGTGTCCCGCCTAGAGTGTGAGCACATATTCCACTCGAGCTGCATAAACCCGTGGCTAGAGCTTCACGCCACGTGCCCCGTGTGCCGGTGCTCTCTGCTCCCGGCCAATCACCGCCCAGAGCCACGAGCGTCTGCTCCCGCATCCGACGGCTCCACTACCACCACCTCCAGCTCTAACACCACTACCAACACCACTAACACCACTCACACTCGTCCGCCGCGACACCTGACCTTTATATGTGAGTTTTTAAGACTAAAATTAAAGTTTAGTACCTTTCAAAAGTCAAAAATCATTTATTTATATAGGTAACACCTTACTAACGTCATAAAAAAGATATGTATATGAAATGCTTCAAACTTTACATTTAGTGCCAGTTCTCAAATCAAGGGCGTAGAACGGAAGAGAAGAACTGGCAATAAACTCTCCGCCACTCTTTTTAAACGCCATGTTTTTTTTACACAAAGTTTGTAAGGAGCTGCAACCATTACACCATGTTCCACAACACATCTGAAGTAATAAATAGTAATAAAATAAAAAAACAAAGATTTGTCCTCTATCAGCAGGAGGCATGGTGAAATAAGAGCACTTACATTCTCGTCCATTATAACAAACTTATTTATCAGTTTTAGTCTAAGATACACTCTGCCTTTTACCCCAAATTTATATATGTCAAGATATCATCACTCCTTCGATATTGTCATATCATAATCAACGGGTTATGGCTAAAGTGCGAACACCAAAGTTACGAATGATTATCATACAATATTTAATTTAGATTGATTTCAAACAACACAAGCTTAAATTGTAACGAGCAGTTGGTGTGCTCTGATTGGTCTTACAATATTCGTACTTTTATTCGTAATTAAAGATTTTAAACTATAAAACAATTAAATATTAACAAAACAAATTAAATTATGATTCGTAATCTAAATGATAAACCAAATCAACAATAGACAATTAACGGTCAATTGATTCGATAATAACATATCCTGATAATCATAACACTCCCTGACATATATATAAAATAGGAAATTTCCATTTTGATATTGTTTTAATTCATTTCTATAAAATATTGTACATATAACACGATGTATATTTTATTCCAGCCCCCCGCGTAGTAATCCATCGTTCGACACACCCGATGTTCCGTCGGGGGTTCCACACCCACACTTGGGATTCCCCACGCGATATGAGCACTTCTTCAGATTCTAGTGCTTCTGTGACTTCAGACGGTCGGTGGGCACCTCAGACCCAGTCTGATACCAGCACAGACTCTTCGTCGTCCGTTAATAGAACGCAAAATTACCACACCGATTTCGACTGCGATTAAGGGTACAAATTACCTGTTGTTTAATGTTAATAAATACGTTTTGACAGGTGTCTTACTTGGCACTTAGATTTATTCTTGACAGTCGAATGACATTGACGTTTGCTTTTGGCACATGAAACATGTTTCTAATTTGGGCAATAATAATCTGTGTTTCTAGTTTTCGTAATTGTTTTCCAAAAAGCCACTTGTTGAGACAAACTTGTATATCAAGTTGTGTGATTCACCTGTCAATGCGAATATTACCTTTAATTTATTAAACCTATAGGCTATAGTTAAAACACATCACACTCAGAGACGATCGTTAATGGGATTTACTTTTGTCTCATTCTCCAATGTCTATCTATGACTTTCAGGGTTCTAATATTTTTGCCATTATATGTATGTGAGGCAACAATATACCACATAATGAATGTTGCATAAATGTATTGTGCTTTTAAAAATGTCCCTTAAATTACTTTAAAGCGAACTTTTTTATTGTTAAAATATTTTGTTATGCATGCCATTAACTTACTATTTATCCGTATATCTTTAAAAAATCTAATAATGAATTCTTTGAATGAAAAATTTGTCATGAAATGCGACCTAATTCATATTTTAATTTAATGTATTTTAAATGTAAATATGTATTTGTAAGAAATATTAGATCATAAACTTAAAGTTTTCTGATATTCTATAATGGATTGTTTATAGCGCGGTTTTTAGTTTTTTTAAGGGTTTTATTTTGTAAAGGTAAACCGATAGATGATGTATGGCAACACACTTGTTTCAGTCATACCATAATTTATTTTTGGACATATGTTGCCAGAATAATTACCAAGTTACTGGCAACACTTGAAGGTTCTATATTAAGTTCCTATATTGTTTTTAAAGTATTATGGTTTTTCAATTTGTAGATATATTCCTGATTAAAAACATATATGTGAGGTGCCGTTTTATTAATTTGAATGTTTGGATGAAAGAATTTAATGCATTTCAAATTTTAGATCTAGATGTAAGTTTATGCCAAAGACTGATAGAGGTAAAATTTGAAATTGTATTTTTAGATGTGTAAAGGTCTACTTTCTTTTAAAGAAAATTCAGAAATTTGAACCCAAAAATAAATAGAGTTGGGCGCTAAAATATTGGTGATTTTTTACACACATAGATGGAAAATATATGGTTAATTTGTGGAAATTAACCATATATTTAGACGATGTATCTTACAATATACAAAGGTTATTTACTTCTTACATGTTATATTCAAATCCATATGTATACCTACAGATCTTTGTTGCTATTTAATTTATATGTAAAATAGCATTAAATACATGCGTTTGTAAATTGATACGTAATTCGAATGAAATACTGGTTTTATTTTAGCATGTATTTAATCATGATACTGTAGTGAATGTAATATATATTAATACATTTGGGATGAATGTAACTGCTAGATGCAGTATAGCCACTGTTAAATGTCTTAATTTTATACCATGCTTATTACATGTTTGTACAAAATTAATTGTAATTTCAAGTGGACAAATAGAACGAGTGTTTTTAAATAAATGCGCAACGAAGGGTGTTTTGTTATTTTTCCTATTTTTATTTATTTTAATAGTCGTTACTATTAAAAAGACAGTGGGAATAGTGAGAATTTTGTTTATGGTAACAATTTTAACCTGAATTGATGGTAATGATGAATTTTCTAATTAGGAGTAATTTCGCTCGTATTAAAATTTTTTGTTAATTAACTAATTTATACATTATTTACAATATTCTTAACCTACATACTTACATAGTTAAAAATTGTAAAAATAATACAACAAATTTTAAAAGTTTGGTCCCTGTAGCAGTGTGCCTTTAAAGCCGGGTATCCACTATGTTCGCGAACCTCTTGCGCTCCGCGCTATCGTTACCGCTCTGATGGAGACGGTAACGCGTATCTCCATAGCTCCACAGTCCTCTTGTCCACGAACAGACTGAGCTCCCCTTTGTGTTCGCCCAATTTACCGCCACCCATTGGAGCGCGGAGCGCGCACCGTTCACGCTCCACGTTCGCAAACGTATCCACTACGCGGAGCTGTTGCAAGTGCGCGGAGCGCAAGAGGTTCGCGAACATAGTGGATACCCGGCTTAACGCTGGCAGCATTTCCTCGCTGTATTGCGATACTTAGTCGTTGAGCGAGGTAAGCTCTGTGGTCACTGGTACTATCTATATAGTAGGCGCCAACTTAAATCATTAAGTAGTGCCTGTGCATTTGAACCCTACGGCCCAAGAGTCTACTCCAAAGCCGAGCCCTTTATTATTTTCCGCCTTTATCTATATGCATTCTAATTTAATTATGCCTACAGCTTTAACAATTAAACACAGATATGAAACACAGTTAAGTGTTAGTTTAAAGATAGATGTTAAATAGTTTGAAGATTTGTAATTACAATTAAAAGAAAAAATTAAACCACAAATAGGTTTACAAATATTTTATTACAATATACGTCTCTTATTTTGAAGTTGCTCATTGCTCACTATACATGAATACACTAGATAAAAGATACGGATTTTTTAAATATATAATTTAAATGATTTCATTGCGTCTTATAATTTTTTATTGTATTTGTGCAAGCTAGTATATATAATACTATACTTATTTATTTCTCTTAGCAGCAAGCAGATGGCTTGATTGGCTTTTTAATGACGGGGTTCTCAACCGTAAGTACTGGGCGGTTAGAAGTCGAAGGAGGTCGGTGCAATTACTGGCAGATGGTTCAGCCACGCGTCGGGTGGGTCAGTGCCATGAGCATTAGCACGTGCATACGAGTTCATTCGAAGTGATATGATGCACTATTTATTATAAATTTACTTTCATCTTCACCTGCCATCCTAGTCCTAATAGTTATAGTATTTTTCATACCCATTTTGATTTTAATACAATCTTTTTCGTTTGGATTATTCGTGTTTTCACATGTATTGTTGTAATACAATTATTACAAAGCGAAAAGAAATTAATGCTATTACAATTTCGTACAAAAACATTGCATGAAACTAATGTTTTAAATCTTCTGTATTCAAAATATCAAATCTATCAAAGTTATTTTCATTTTTCTGTCTTTTGTTGTCGCGAAACTGATGCTCTGCTCGAAAATTCCTATGCGTGTATAAAAATAATAAACACTATTTACATTACAAACATTTATGCAAGACGAGAGCAATTCCTTTCATACATATACATATATGTACTTTATAATTTGGTTGGTCAAAAAGTAGTAGGTACTTATTTTTCTAAGATTTAATACTTAAATTTTACTTATATATATAAAAATTAAAATATTACGTTACTAATCTATATTAACTTTATTTTGTATGTTCATTAAAAACCTTTAATTAAAACTATCTGTTAATGTAATTAAATAAACAAGGTCTTTGATCTTTAAACGGAAATAGATGTTTTTGTAATTTATGATATCGCCATAAAATGGATTGTGCGGGTCAAAGTATTTTAGTGATGGCAAACAGAATAAAACGGCGCGCGCGCACCTCAATTAATACAAAGGTGCGCGAGCAGCTGACTCCGCACCTGCCGCCATCTTTAACATTTCTTTAACTTTTTTTTCGCCATCGAAGGCATTGGCCTATTTTTTATGGCGCAACATGAGGCAGCTGACGCTTGGGCATTTGTTAAAGAATCCTTTGTTATCCTCAGTCCGAATATATATTACGTGCCGACAGACATAGCAGGGGTCTCTTCTAAGATCCCTTATTAAGAATAGGTTTTAAGCTTATCGACAGTCTTATCATGTCAGTGTCAATGCTTAATTAATGGTTTTTGGTATCTACTACCGAAAAAATGCACAATTTTTTGAAGTTATACTTCTTTAGGCGCCTAAGAAAAATTGATGAGAGTGAATTTTTACGATGCGCGCGCACCTGAGACACAAAGTTGTCAGTGTGATTATAGCGTGCGCGAGCGAGATGGGAATAAGACAATCTACAAGTAAAAAGAAATAGAATATGCGTGAAGTTAGCAGCTATGCCAAGAATTTTGAATGACCATAATGACATTTACCTTTTAAACAAATAAAGGATTTTAATTATTTTTTCAAAGAAATTTAGCAATGCTTTTTGAATTATAATCAGAAGTGATTTAAATTGAATATTTAAATCAATACTAATTAATATTAGAAAATATTTGTGAAAAAACTGTGCTCATCAACCTTCCTAAGTGCTTCAATACAATTGAGGTTAACTAAAAATGTATTATTATTATCGAGTATTATTGTTGAGTAAAACTGAAACAAGAATGGTTATTCATTGCTTTTGTTTATTGCGTTTGTTACAGCAACTTTTTAGAAATATTCTACGACTCTATATATCAATAATTGAAATTCTGATGAAGACATTGGAGTCACTTAAAAATAAATACCTAGTATAATGAAATAAAAATGTTTTAAAGATAAATAGTGTTTAATTTGTTTAAATAACTTAATTGTTAAAACAACCTAAATTAAGAACTATCAAACTTAAAAGTTTTCATCAATAAAAATGGCTCTCACTGCTGCTCCACGCAGTGTATTTTGAGATAAGGGCACTGTTGGTAGTGAGGGCAGGGTCTCTTCATCATCATCAGAGATAGGTTCCTCTTTTGAATCAATGGCTATATTGTGCAATACTGCCAAAGCTACAACATACATCATAGTGTTTGGTAGAGATGTTCTAAATGTATAATAATATTTACTTTTAACTTAATAGAATTTATGTTACACTTAATGTAAGAGAATAATAATAAATATTTATTTATTTAATTTTCAAATGTAAACTGAACTTTATTGACTATAATGACTCCTTTTCCAGACTTTGATTATTTAATTGTAATTAATTATTTGCATGCAATCAAAAACGATTTTTAATAATGCCAAAGAAGTATAACTTCTTACGCGTGTACATAAGTACACGCATCCTTTTTTTTTAAATGGAACTGGAGGCAAACGGGCAGGAGGTTCCACTGATGTTAAGTGATGCCCTTGGACAC